ACACAATTTATTGAGCACAAATTTTACCCATTTTTACACTTTATTAGACCGGACACTAGGCGAGAAAATCACACTCGCTCAAATATCATTCTTCTCTTCTACTTTCTCGATTATGGAAGAGCCTGAATGATGGTGTTTCAGACAAACAAAATTTTCACATTTAGGTCGGTTTCGTTATTCCATGAAAGGATGAAACTCAACATATTTCAAGGATTATTATTTCAAATGGCAGGCTTTATGATATTTATCTTAGCCATTAAACTTTGACTTCAGCTTCCCCCGAGGGTGTGGGGGGGGGGGTACATTTATAGCAGTTAATAAATAGCAGTTCATTAGCTGTCTTCCTACTTCCTAGTATCACTGGGTTTCCGTCATAGTCTTTAGGGCTGGACACTGAATCAGGTGGGTCTTCTCCATTTCCTCCTGTTGGTTACTTAGGGGACATTTGGGTTGAGTGTATACTCCCAATTTGTGAAGGTGTTTTGCCAAGGGATCGTGTCCGGTACGTAGTCTAAACTCAGCAATGGCTTTGATCCTTGGCCAGTTGGGTATGTCGGAGAGTGTCACTGTCCACTGTTTCTCCTTTGTTCGAGTTTTAAGTTCGATGCACCTTGAGGTCTTGAATTCTCTCCTGATTAAGGTCTTCATTGTGTGGAAAGACATCGGCCGGTCTATGCCTTGAAAATCGTTGTCCCCTTCTTAGAAAGTGCGTCTGCAATCTCATTGTCTTTAATGCTCCAGTGATCAGGAATCCATTGTAGGACCACTGTTTTGTTTTTTTCTCTCAAGAATCTCATTGCCTTTAATGCCACAGTGACCAGGAATCCATGGTAGAACCACTGTTTTGTTTTTCTCTCTCAGCAGCTGATAATAGGACCACTGTTTTGTTTTTTTCTCTCAGCAGCTGATAGTGATTTTTACATTCGTTCATCTCAGCTGTTTTGGGTGGCTCTCTGTTTCCAATTGAGTCCTCAGCTGTTTTGGGTGGCTCTCTGTTTCCAATTGAGATTATTGCTGACTGTGAGTCCGAAAGGATTTCTGCTTTGGCAAATTTCGTATCCAGGACACATAATTGGCTTAGTGCTATCCTAATGGCCTCTATTTCACCTTTGAAAGCGGATTTATTGTGTCCCGCTGCTGCGTAGAAATAGAAGAGTTCAGAGTAGACACCTGCACCAACGTTTGCTTGGTTTTCTACGTATGACCCATCAGTAGAGACTTGGAGCCATTGATCTGCAGAACAGTTAACATTGATTGTCTCAAGGGCAAGTGAGCGCATTTGTTCTTGAGGGGTGTTTGATTTCCTGAAATGGTCAAGTAGTTGGGTGCAATACACTACATCAGTGTCTGCCAAATGGGTAGGGGGAGGATTTTTGGTTTGTCATCGATTTGTAATGCTTTCTTCAGTTCTATGACTTCCTGTATTAGACCAGATTGTGTTTTCAGATGTCTTGGTCTATTTTCATAGGTGCTGAAGAATTTATCTATGGGAATGCGCAGTAGTTTCTCATACAGGATCAAGTCCTTCTCTTTGATAAGGGAACCTATTGTGGTGCTTCCTGTAACTAAAAGCATTGCATCAATGGGTGTTAGTTTTATTCCTCCAGTAATTAGTCGTAATGATTCGTTGTGGGCCTTTCGAGGGGTTTAAGAGTCACCTCTGTGCCTGCAATGAGTGGTCCACAGCAATACAACATTATTTGATGAATAAACATCTTGTAAGTGGTGTTTAGGGTTGAGCGTGCACAGCCCCATAGGTTGAGTGGTGTTTAGGGTTGAGCGTGCACAGCCCCATACGCTACCAGCAAGACGCTTCAGGACATTCAGTCTATTGGAGACGCGTTCTGCTACTTTAGCAATGTGACTTTTACATGTTAGCTTTGTGTCAAACGTCATTTCGAGATAAGTGAACACTTTGGTTTTTCTAGGGTAGTATCCTTGCCCCTTATATGCGGGTTTATGCTGTGACGGGCCAAAGTAAATGTTTGGCATGCAGTTTTCGCGGTGTTGATAACCGTTCTATTGTTGTCACACCAGTTGGCTAAGAGTTTAAGTGCACTATTAAGAGCACTTTCCATCCTCTCCTGGGCGTTTTTCTTGGGGTCGGAATACCATAAAATAAGATCATATGCATAAAGTAAGCACTTGATGCCAGTGACTGTCTGTACTATCGATGAAGACATTGAAAAGAGTGCAGCTTGTGACAGCTCCCTGTCAACATTGAAAAGAGTGCAGGTTGTGACAGCTCCCTGTGGAAAAAAGAGTGCAGCTTGTGACAGCTCCCTGTGGAAGGCCTGTATTGCAGCTTGTGACAGCTCCCTGTGGAAGGCCTGTTTGTAAGGCTGGGACAGCTCCCTGTGGAAGGCCTGTTTGTAAAAGATTGGATCCAGCTCCCTGTGGAAGGCCTGTTTGTAAAAGATTGAATTTCGATAGAGCATTTATTTATCTGACTTTATACGATCTTTGTCCAATGAATGCTTTTATTCAGTTTAGCATGTTATGCTTAATACCAATCTTTGCCAATTTTAGAATTAGCTTCTCTATCGGTCATATGCTGATTTGAAGTCGACGAAAACAGCCGTAAGATTTAGAATTAGCTTCTCTTTCCATACTAAGTCATATGCTGACTGAAACTTTTAATACCAATCTTTGCCAATTTTAGAATTAGCTTCTCTATCGGTCATATGCTGATTTGAAGTCGACGAAAACAGCCGTAAGATCATATGCTGATTTAAAGCCGTAAGTTATTTCTCGCTCAAGGGCATCTTTGATGTGTTGGGAGAAAGTGACTACTTGAGAGTGCAAGAATGGTGGGTTGCTTGGTCTCCCATCTTTGATGAGTTGGGAGAAAGTGGCTACTTGTTGGTTCGTTGATCATTGTGACCTAAAAATGGGAGAAAGTGGCTACTTGTTGGTTTGTTGATCTTTGTGACCTAAAACCTGCTTGTTCATTGTCAGCCTCCTATGAACCACTCTTTCCATAAGTTTAGCCAGCACCCTTGTGAGGGAGATATACATATAGTTGTCAAAGTTGCCAGGGTCTTTGCTCTTTTTTAGTATTGGTATTACTATGGCAAATTTCCATTGGTTAGGTGCGAGACTGGTACCCCAGATTTTGTTAAAAAGCGTCAGCATGGTTTCCTTTGCTTTTGGCCCCATTCTAATTATCAATTCAGGATGAATATCGTCTTCGCCAGGAGACTTTTTGCACTTGAGCTGTTTTATCGCAGCATTAAGTTCGCAAGGTCTGAACGGTTCAGTAAGTACGTTATTTGGTGTCGCGATGTCTTCCTTAATTTCGTCAAAATGTCTTACTTGTATCTTTAAATGTCTTGAAGATTTTCTATTAAAAGGGTTTTTCTTTTGCTTGTGGGAATGGAACTTCACAAAGTAGTTAGCTATTTCGGAGTCGGTGGTAAACAGTTTGTTGTTTAAGCGTATTGATTCTTTCTTGTGTCTTTCCCTGTTGTTTTTGAGGTTACCCAGGAATTTGAAAGTGCGTTGGCTATCAAGGATTTAAGTTACTAATTTCAATAAAATGCAATAATTCGTGATTTAATTGCTAACTCCATTTCCGTCACAGTTATCAATTGTTGCTGGATTGGTTTCAGAGATTTACGCTAAATATTTCATTAAATATATTTTTTACTTAAATTTTGAGTCTAATGATGAGAAAATTACAATAAACGGTTTTCAATGGTAAATATTTCTTGTCAATCTTTATTTTGAAAAACACGAGATAATTTAACTTGTTTGTTGATTCTATTCTAATTCTTTTATGGCTTCTGCCTCTAAGGATAATCGTCGGTATTTGCATGTGATTTCTCAATTAGTTCATGCAGAAGAAAGGTCCCTCTTCAAGTAAGAATTTTAATTTTCTACTACGTTACTATCGCGGATTTTGACTATTCTATTAGACGACTATAAGTGACGTTACAAATGAAAAACGTTGGATGAATGTCTTTCACCGCTCTCCTTCACCTAAGGAATAGATACAAAGCAGTAAGTTGGCCACATTGGTATGCTGAATGTATGGGGTTTGCGATAGACTTACTGCCACGTGGTGTACCCTGGGCAAGGTAAAATCATGCAGCAAAAAGTCTACGAACTGCCAGTTGACTTTCGACTTCAAACTACCATGATCCCATTGTATGACATATTCGACTACTTCCACAGTACTCTCCCTCCCCCTTCTTTACCTCTGTGTCCATCTGTCTCTTTACATCTGGGAATCACTCTCACTTCCATCTCTCGACGCCTTGTGACTGTGATGTTCCTCACCTCTGTTAAGCCTGAAGTCAGCTTAATGGATAATGGTAACAATCAAAACGCTTGCCGTTTGAAATAAATAAATACTAAATATATATCAATGGTAAATTGGAACATCATGTTAGAGTTCCTATTCCAATAAAATGGGAGTAACCTGTTACATGGGAATATGAAAAACGGAAGGAGGGAGGGAGAAATTGAAGCTGTTAAGGGACCTCAGATTTATGGCTCTGAAGGGGGTATGGATCAGAGGGGGATTCTTTTCTGACCTTCCTAATATGCATGTCTGTTCACGTTTTATTGACTAGAGAGGAGTTCATCTCTCCAAGATTGGGA